ATGAACTAGCCAGCCGTGTCACAACCCATTTATATTACCGCTGAATCATCCAAAAAGGCTGTGATAAATTGTGGAAACATTTTTAAAGCATTCAAGATTGGCTGGTCGGATAGAAAGGAAATAGGTCGCCCAATATAAGGTAATCAAAGACAGTCTTGGATTCTGGATTCCACGTCGTGCATTCCGGATTGCAGGTTCGTGATTCCGGCAGGAGCCCATAACCCGGAGCGAGCAACTTCCATGCGCTCGTGTCACGGCGATTTCACAATATGTTTCAAATTCCACAAACCAGTCAGCAAAACCTACAGACATAAGAATGATATTTTTTGCCTTTTAATTACGTTTGGTTTTCCTTTTTGATATCTTATTCTTCCGCGGGAATGTGCTCATAAACATGGTGGAGTTTTTATTTCCAGGGGAAAAAATGCCCTAAAATTTGTCTAAAATAAAATAAACTGGTCCGTAAAAACGCCGTGACATAGGCCTAGTATGGGATATGCTCACTCGTTATGGGCTCCTGATTCCGGATTATTTGCCGGTAGAACTTGGATTCCGGATTCCAATCGTTAGTGGATTCCGGATCCCTTGAGCTGTACTCCAAAGCCCAGGATTCCGGAATCCACGAGAAAAAAATTCCGGGATTCCGGATTCCACAAGCAAAACTTCCTCGGATTCCAGAATCCGGATTCCCTTTCATGTGGCGAAATAGGGGAACGCCCCTGAGGCGTTTGCATCTTTATCGATAATTTTTCACCGGACTGAAAGGCTCGCTAGCGGTAAATTTAATCCTATTTTCATTCTCAGCCAGCAAAAATTATACGTAAATTAAAAGGCAGTCATGCTCAGTCGAGCCTGTGAGCACCCGAAATTATAGCAAAAATTTTAGTAAACACAATTTTTCTGGGTCAGAAAGTGTGCGTTTTTAAGAAACGCTAGCTTTAAGACGTTTTAGGAAGTATTTTGGGCCACAAGTACCAAGTAGACTTTTCCTCAGCAAGAAGACTGAAGTGCGGGGGCTACTTTTATGAATCACTCGAAAAAACGCGGCATTTTAAAGAAAANCCGGAGCGAGCAACTTCCATGCGCTCGTGTCACGGCGATTTCACAATATGTTTCAAATTCCACAAACCAGTCAGCAAAACCTACAGACATAAAAATGATATTTTTTGCCTTTTAATTACGTTTGGTTTTCCTTTTTGATATCTTATTCTTCCGCGGGAATGTGCTCATAAACATGGTGGAGTTTTTATTTCCAGGGGAAAAAATGCCCTAAAATTTGTCTAAAATAAAATAAACTGGTCCGTAAAAACGCCGTGACATAGGCCTAGTATGGGATATGCTCACTCGTTATGGGCTCCTGATTCCGGATTATTTGCCGGTAGAACTTGGATTCCGGATTCCAATCGTTAGTGGATTCCGGATCCCTTGAGCTGTACTCCAAAGCCCAGGATTCCGGAATCCACGAGAAAAAAATTCCGGGATTCCGGATTCCACAAGCAAAACTTCCTCGGATTCCAGAATCCGGATTCCCTTTCATGTGGCGAAATAGGGGAACGCCCCTGAGGCGTTTGCATCTTTATCGATAATTTTTCACCGGACTGAAAGGCTCGCTAGCGGTAAATTTAATCCTATTTTCATTCTCAGCCAGCAAAAATTATACGTAAATTAAAAGGCAGTCATGCTCAGTCGAGCCTGTGAGCACCCGAAATTATAGCAAAAATTTTAGTAAACACAATTTTTCTGGGTCAGAAAGTGTGCGTTTTTAAGAAACGCTAGCTTTAAGACGTTTTAGGAAGTATTTTGGGCCACAAGTACCAAGTAGACTTTTCCTCAGCAAGAAGACTGAAGTGCGGGGGCTACTTTTATGAATCACTCGAAAAAACGCGGCATTTTAAAGAAAAATGAGCATTTTTTTTTCGCGAAAAACGAGGAACCGAAAAACTAAACGTACCGAAACTTGTGGTCAGTGAAACCCCTTCATTTTATTTTCCATTCTTAAGGTTTTATTGAAACGGAAAAATCTATTCTTACAGTTTTTCACATTTAAATAAATATCATCATAAAATTAAATATTATGAGCCAAATGAATGTTTTTCATTAAAAAAGGCGTTATCCTCAAGGGACTGAAGAGTCTTTGAAATATGTATTGAGCTTTATCGCACACGGTGAATACTATCAGTTCATATCAGTTACTTATGCTTGTACACTTTGGGGAAATAATTATAACGCTCCATTGTCTCAAATCGTAAAGTTACAAAACAAAGCGGTTCGTGTTATAAATGATGTTCCTTTAATGGAATCAATAACTCCACACTACACATCCCTAGGCCTTCTGAAATTTCCTGATATTGTTAAACTGAACACATGTATGCTTTTTTATGATTATTTCCACCATGAAAAGTTACCTAATATACCTGTTTCATTAGTATCTGAACTACATAATTACAGTACCCGCAGGGCATCATCCAATCAAGTTGCAATACCTATATTTCGAACTAATCTTAGGAGATTTTGCCACAGCATTATTGGAAGTTTCTTTTGGAACGATATTCCGCAATCCATTAGAGACAAACCATCTAAAAAAATGTTTAAAAAAGCACTTTTACGCTGGTACCTGGCTCAATACTAATGAATCAATATCCCTTTTACAACTTTCTGAGCTACTTTGTCATTTTTCCTTTACTTTTTTATTAATAATCTTAAGTCCTTTGTTATACATAACTTTAAGGGGCACAATATTAGTTTATCTAGATGTGCCCCTCTCCTCTCCTTCCAATATACAATGTAATTCAATTTAAGTGTTGTAATTTCTATTTTACGCGTTTTTTTTTTTCCTTTGTAAATCTTTATCTGTTACTATATTATTTTTCTCAGTTATATTTACATAACTATGTATCAGCTAGGAATTGGAGGAATAAATAAATAAAAAAATAATAAAATAAATATCAGTTCATGTCAATAGAATCTTGACAATTAATCTTCTATCTTTATCGATGGTTCTTCACCGGGGTTCTCCGATGGATCAGTTCGGGCAGGGGATATTAGTGGCTAATCTACACCACTGCAGAAGGGCTGCATTTCAACGTGTATTTCTTTTGGGCCATCTACCTCTGTCACTAGATCACCGGAAATCTGATAGGGGTCATCTGACGTACTTTGTTGCTTCTTCAGTGGTATTTCTAAATACCCATAGTATAATTTGCCAACTTTATCTCCAACGTGTTTCAAATAGGAATAGACATCTTTATGGCTCTCCGTTTCTGAGAACAAATTTTCAATAACCATCTTTGCTTGTTCTTTGACGCGTTGCAGTGCAATGGCGTGGTACTGCTCAACAGCTTCTCGGGCTTCAACATGGTGGTAGTATTCAGGACTCGGTATTTTCAGACGCTTTCCTTTTTTCATGCATTGACTTATGGAGATGGAAATGACAAGGACGAGCACGAATATGATCATGAGTGACCAGCCTGCAATCTGACTGCCGGTTTTGTAGCTTTCTTCCATCTCTTTTGATCGAAATCCCAGCTTAAAATGGCATCTGTCAGTTGCATTTGGAGTCGTTGAAACTCTATCGGCAAGAGGAGGTCCAAAGTATGCGCATGTGTAGTACTGTTGCTGCAAGAAAGATAGAACCAACCAGGCAACTGGAGCGACGTTTGCTAGTGTCATTGCATAGATTATAGGGAACAGTGAATTGAAACAGTGACATACCGGGGTTCTCATGACTTTCTCGGTGTTCCTTTCAGGGTCAATACGGCACAGAGTGTCATCCAGGAAAACGCTCAAGAAAAACAAAAGAATGGCTGGTCCGCATAAAAATGCCAGTCCATACTCGAAATGTCTTTTGCATGGACAATCAAATACAACTTCCTGACAAATCTCCTGGACACCCATCGTCAAGCCTACCATAGAGCAATACTTCACGGGCTGACGTGATTTGTTGAAGAACTCACGGATGAATGATATTATTGTGTTCATGCTGATCAATCACGGTCAGATGAATTGGTGAAGAACAAATTCTTCAAATTATCTCAAAATAAGCGCATTAAACAAACGAACAATCCGGCGAGGCGAAAAACTCTTCCCGCGTAACGAATGGCTGTATTAAAAAATAACTATTTCATCAGGTGTCCGCTCTGTTTTCAGTTTCTTATAATTCAGGGGCACACAACAACTTTTTATAACTGGTTATGGTGAATTATGCGTGTGCTTTTAGCCAATCAGAATTGGGGAAATATTTTGAATGAATAATAATACATATTAGTCCCTCTAAATTTGTAAACAAGATGATGAGACAAGATCTTCTAAGATGTTCCTGCGTAACGAATGACTCTATAACTGTTTCGTCAGGTGTCTGCGGTATTTTCAGTTTCTTTAAAGTATTTTTTAAGCTCTTAATATAATTCAAAGGCACACGACAACTTTTTTGTGTGAAATAACTGTTCGAAGGAACAAATATTGCCTAGAAATTTCTAAAGCTCCAGAGAGGTTAAAAATTTCTGGATAACCATTCCATTCGTAGCTATTCGTCTGTAACTATTTGGAGGTTTCCTACTAACTTACCTACAATTTTCGGAGGTTGTGTTTTTTTTATTTCCAAGATATTGCAATTATTGTTTAAAAAGATCTCCTTAAAATTTCGGCAAAAAGACAAAAC